CCGCCCGTGTTTCGGGGAGACGCTGCCGGAGCCGGGCGAGAACGGGACAGCGGGGACAGCGGGGACAGCGGGTGAGTGCTGGCGGCCGCGGCGATGCCGGGGCGCTGCCGACGGGGCGGGCGCTCGGCCCCGGCTGAAGTTGGTGCCCGGGGACGGAGCGCGGGGGCTTCGCCACGGAAAAAGCCCAGGGGGGGCAGGGAGAACGGGAGGCGGGGGTCGGGAGGCCGCGGCCTGCGGCGGCATCGCCCCGGGATCAGCGGCATCGCCCCGGGACCAGCGGCATCGCCCCGGCTCTGCGGGCGCGGTGCGTGGGGCGGGCAGAGCTCCGTGGCAGCATCGCCCTGCGGAGAGCGGGGACCCGCGGGCATCACGGAATTACGGGATGGTTTGGGTGGGAAGGGACCTTTAGAGGTCACCTAGTCCGTCCCCTCAGCCACCAGATGCATCTTCAAGCAAATCAGGCTGCTCAGAGCCCCGTCCAAGCTGACCTTGAGTGTCTGGAGCCGCAGCCTCTCTGGGCAGCCCGTGATGCCCCTGTGTGTCTGGGAGGGAAGATCACAGGCGGTTTAGAGCTTTAAATGCTTCTTGCAGGTCTCTTCCTCCAGGTACAGGGTACTACTGTGTAAATGAAGTGACCACTTTAGAAGTGTAATTTTATGTAGATTGCCTGGGGAAAGCTTTGGGTTACTTTAAGGGTTGCTCCGTTATTATCCCACACCATCCTGGTTTGTATTCCGTGAGTGACACAGCTGCCTGGTTTCTTCTTTGCTCCTGCTTCAGATAGGATGGTGGCCAAAGGTCACCTCTGAGTAGGTGCTGGAGCGAAGCCAGGAGCTGCCACTGTGGTACTGAACCCTCGGAATCCTCACCCATCCACGTCTCTGTACCTGCTGGGATGCAAGCCAGCCTTTTCAGGACAACGTGCTCTGTTTTCTCACATGGAGCCAGCAGGCCACCTGTCACCTGTTGCACCAGTGATGAATGTCAGCCACTTTTGGGATGGGCTGTGGTCCTGCAGCAAAGAGCAGGACCCAGCCAAGCACAAGGACTGCCAGCGTTGCAGTCTGGTGTTTCCAGTGTGCTGCAGGCAGCAATGCATGAAACTGGAACAGGGACTTCTAGGGGAGTCATGCTTCCCCTTTCCCAGTTGTGAGCCTGATGTAAACCCCAGGAAAAGAAATTTCTTTTGCAAAATTAAGGATACGACTGATTTTAGAGAGGTGGGATTCCTTTGCCAGTAATTGTAACTTCCTCCTTCTAGGAACTGCTGCCAATACAGTGTTAAACAGATTATTCCAGAAAGCAGTGGCTGGGATCTGTGAGGTTTCTCAAGGCAAATTTGCTTTTGCTTTTCATATTGTCTTAAAAGTTAAAGGAGCATCATAACAAAGGATTAATGATGCATATCTTGCATGCTTCTCAAATATTAAAACTGGCAAATACCAAACAAATAGTCAATTTGTTGTTTTCCATGTTGCTTGTAACATTTTCTGGTTTTCACATTTACCCCCAGATCTGGTTGGTCTCAGAGTAGCATTCCCACCAGTCATCAGTCATTCATTTTCTTCTGATGTATCACAATTCTGATGGGCTGGGAATCAAGCACATGCAGAGAATAATGAAATTTTTTAAAAAATCAAACCCATGGTGTGAATTCTGCTGGTTTGCAGCTTACTTAGAAATCTGGGAAATGTATTTCTTGGGTTGAGGCATGTCAAAATGCCTCATGTCAAGATGTGAGGGGCCTGGATACTTTCACTGCTTAACAGAGAGGAAGAATGATGGCAGTGTACTGTGCTCACCTTAAATGCAGAGCTAAACTTAAAGATCAGTCACTTCTGGCATGTACACAGCAGAGCAATACTTGTTGTGTTGTAGTTGTTTGCTGGATAGAACTGTCCTACACAGAGCTCTGAAGGAAACCATCCAGATATCAAAAGTCAGGGTAAAAACACACTGGATTTTCCTCTGTCTTTTGAGTAAAGACTCCTTTCTGTGCCTCGATGATGCACACAGAGATACACGTAAAGGAAGACATCCCTCAGTGTGCACACAAGCATGATCCACCCTCTGTGATCCCCACAGTGCAGAACTCAGCCAAGGTGTTCCTCCCTGCCTGCCCATTCCTGACCCTGGGTGAGCACAGAGACGTTGTGCAGAAGGAATTTGGGTATTTTCCCATCTCTGAGCTCCGTGAAATTGGGATGGCTAGGGGAGTTGATTCTAAGCCACAGGGAAAAAAAATCCAAACAAACATCATGGCTATAAAGATTGGGGTCAGAGCAACAACTGCCCAGCTTCTTTGCCAGAGCTGCTGGAGCTGAAGGGGAGTGCTACTTCAAATGTTCAGGGACCAAAGGAACAAGCATTGGATGTCAGGGAACCCTGTATGTGCGTCCTAAAAAGTGAAGCTGAAGCAGAGGAGTGTACCAAACATCAGAGAGCAGCAAGAGAGGAGGTGGAGGGCTGTTAGGGAGCAATGCTTAGAAAGCCAAAGGCACCTGGAAAATGCTCATGAGGCTGATGGCCAGTCTGTCAAGAGGACATTCTGTGCTCTTCCCTGCCACAATCAGGGGGAGTTTGTTCCTTGTGGTCATGCTCTGCAATGAGCCTGGGGGCTCTGCAGCCCCAATGACATCCAGTGACAGCTCTTACAGGCAGCTGTGTCATTCCTCACCAATCCTTTCTAGAAAGCAATACAAATTCTCTGTGCTCCTCTGCCCGTGTGGAACACCACAGCACCACAATGATGACTCTTGAGCTGGTTCCAGACCTGAACTGTGATGTTCTGCAAAAACTTTCACTTTCTTGGTTTTTTGTTCATTTTGAATTGGAGTTCATGAAGTTTGCACTGTATTGCAGTAAAAAAAAATCTTGTTTTCACCATTTTACATGGGGTAGACTAATTCACTTTACTTTCCTGGTGCTTCATTGGTTATAGGAAATCACACTCCAAAAAGATTATTTGACCTGTCCTTGTGACTTTCTGAGATGGAGACGTCAGTGTCCCTAAGGAATACTTTGTTTCACTACTCTTACTATCTCCAAACTTTTCCTAAGGGCTCAGTCTTCCTTGCTGTAGCTAAGTCTCTCTCCTTTTCAGTGATATTAGTCACAGCCACAGGGAACAGACTATTCCTTCCTGTTCTGCAGGCTTTCATACACAGAAAGACTGCTGAACATCTCTCTCAGCTGTGCTCTTTAAACCCCAGCATTCCTGTTCCCGTGCAGTTTCTTCCCATACATTTTATTTTCTGATGACTCCTGCTGCTTTCTTCTGATTTCTTGCTGTGTGGTCTGTATCTTCTTGGGAGCAGTGCCCAGAGCTGAATGCCAGGCTGCCATTTGGCCTTGTCCAAAATGAACAAGATCTATTCAAGGCCTTCTTCCCGGTGACACTCTTGCCAAGGTGCTGCTGTTTTGCCCTGGTACAATGTCACTGGCTCTGCTGACAGTGCACATTGATGCCACACTGAGCAGAGCTTTTGCTGAGCTGGTTGCTCTCCATCACACAACAGGGGAACTGCTCATTTCTACCTGAACTACCTGCCTTGCACTTGTCCTTAAACTCAACTTCATGGCTGAGAGCTTCCCAGCCCCTGCTCCCCACAAAGAAATTATTGATAACATATTGCAGGGGCTGTTTTTGCAATGTAGCATTTACCAGAATCACTGCCCATTAAACTCCAGACTTTCTCTTTGATAAGTAATATTTAGTTATAATTTGTAATAGCAATTGTAACTTGGTAATGATCAATGGGTGGGGCAGCTAACACCTTTTGGTAAATAAAGGTAAGAGAGGAAAAATACCAATAATTCTTACAAGAAAATGCCAATAATTTCTTAAAAGCTGAGCAAAAATAGAAGGTGGGGAGGAGAGAGTGAAGGTGTTAAATACTGTTAGTATTTGCTTGTGAATGACTATATTTGCTTATTTAAAATGAGAAATGTTTTGCATATAGTTTCTCATATAGAATGCTGTTCCCTATATCAAATGAACAAAATAGGGACCTGATTTACTTGGAAATAGTCACAATGATCCTGGCAGATTAGACACCCAGCCGTGCTGCATGAGCTGTGCTGGAGTGAACACTCAGAGTCAGGCACACTTTTCCAGAAACATGAACTCTTCTCTACCAGCTCCCCTCACTGGCAGTGAAGAGAGATGCTCAGCCCTGAAGGGCCCAGCTGCTGCTGGGCTTGAGCAGAAATTCTGATGCAAACAGAATTTACATAGAGTGCACCTTTGATTTTTCAGTGCAACACACTACAGCATTGCCTGGTTTTCTCCCAGGAGCTGCATCCAGGTTTGGTTATGATCTCTGGATGGGCACATTCCTACAGCTAATTCTAAAAGTATTTCGTGTTGTTTGAACAGTGCTTTTGTCTTCAGGTTGGGCTCCATACCTACTCTATGATGCATGCTCGAGTCAATTGTCCCAAATACACAAGAACTTACTCAAAACTTGCTCCCTTTTTAAGTTCTGCTCTGAAATGGGCCTTCAGAGGGGCTCCTCTTGGCCAGAGTGCCACCTCCTGTCCTGTTCTGCCTTCTGGCCGCCTGCTGTTGTCTCTCACTGGAAGCAGCTTCACTGCTGATCACCATTTCAGCATGACAATTAGACCTGCTCTATTTAGTGGACTCTACATTTAAATGAAAAGTGAGAATAAGTTACAAAATTAATTTTCAGCAGTTTGCTGAATTTCAGCTCTCTTTTCAGCCATCCCTTTGCAATTCTCCAGCTTCAAGAGAAGAAAATTAATTCTTCTATTCCTTAATTACTCTATCCTTAATTCCTCTATCTTAATTCCTCTATCCTTAATTCCTCTAACTTCAGCGTGAACTTAAAGGGAATGTGCAACCTACTAAAGGACATTTAATCTAATTTTCTTTTTTTTTCCTTTTTTTTTGTTTTCTGTTCTATTTAGTGAAAGAGTAAATTCTGTATTTTTATTTCAACATACCTATTTTGTACACATTATTTATCCCTCTCCAGCCCAGCACTGCAGAGGTGCATCAAAGCCTTCTCCTTGCAGCCCAGCATCCTCAGAAGGTGTGTCAGCTGCACCATGAAATCACAGCCTGCAGGAATTGCCCCACTCTCCAGTAATGGTTGTGCTCCAGAAGGAACAGAAATGTGTTGGGACTTTGTTTACCCTTGGGATTGAGCACCTCTGGTTACCTGGGCAATCTCTGCAGCTCCATGCCCAGAGCCCACATGATGACACTTGGTCCTGAGGAGCTCCTGGTGGCACCCAGCCTTCTCCTGCCTGTCAGTGTGCCTGCCCTGGCACACCTGGTGCTTGGTTTTTCCTCAAAGAGACGCTCCCCTGCCACCCTGCCCTTGCTCTCTGAGTTTACTGCAGAGTTAAACTGGCTTGCTCCAGCTCGGCATGGTGTGCCAGCGTGCTGTGCTGTGCAAATCTCACTCTGGCTGGCTGTGACATCACCTGCAGTTTATTTCAGGTGCTCTGAAGTGAAAAAAATACCCACAGTCCACGGCCAAGAGCACTGGGTGAAGCCCGAGGAAAGATGGACACAGTGATGCAGCCGAGGCACCGAGAGGATTCCCGTCCTGTGAAGTGTGACAAACCTGGGACAAGCCAGGGTGACAAAGCTGCCGGGCGGGGCTGCCATGCCATGCCAGTGCACTCAGCTGCCTGCAGGCTGCACTGCCACCCCACCGATGGCACTGCCACCCCAGCCTGGACAGGCACACACGGGAGGCAATGATGCTGGCTTATCTAGAGCTGATAACACCGCCAGCATCAGGGAGAGGTCCCTGTGTGACCCTGCAGGAGCCGCTCTGGCAGCCACACTCGCACCACCAAAATCCCCTGGCAGCCACCCCACACTCACACAGGCACCCCTGCTTTCCTCACCAGCTCAACACAAGGTTTCCTGTGGCATCTCAGATGTCTTTTAGAAGCTGCCATCTACAAGAGCTCAAGCTGGAGCTGGCACTGCTGAGCACGGCTGGCACTGAATGTGTTCATCAATTCTGTGTTCATCCTGCCCAGGCAGCACATCCCTCTGCTCTCAGGAAACCTGCATGGCCACTTCCTACCCCTGGGCTCTGCTCTTTCAGGATTTGTGATGTCTGTGCATCTGTGTTCTGCTTTCCTTAACAGGCAGTTATGTGTATGACCTTGTACTTTACATAATTTAATTTAATTGTCACTTAATATTATTTTTCTTCAGTATCTGTAGTTTAAACAAACTTAATTTCTTTTTCTTTTTAACAGGAAAATAATTTACCTGTATTCATCATTCTTTTGTTGAGTAAAAGGTAACTTCATTGAAATACTAAATTATTAGGAATATGTTCATTTTCTCTAGATGGTAACTCTTCCTGAGTACATGATAAATAATCATGTGCTGGCTTTGCTCAGTATCACAAAATGGCCATGAGGAAGGGATTTTCTCTTCCTAGAGAAAAAAAATCAAGAAAGTAATAGTCTAGTGTGAAATATGAGACTTTTCTATGTCTCCTTATTAGAAAAGTGCACATCAAAAAAAAATCATGTCTGAAAATGTTTGACTCACAGAAGGTGATTGTATATAAAAAATCAAACACTGAAAAATCAAACACAATTAAAAGTGTTGCTTCTTATATTAGGATTTAGGAGCTTAAGAGAGGCTGTTTGAGTTCAAAGTGCTGATGTTTCATGTAGAATATTTTGCTCCTCTTGCTCCACAGATTGTGCCTGGATGGATGGCATGAATTGGTACCAGGGACGACTGAGAGAGGCTCTCATGGCTGGGAGAAGGCTGGCCTGGTGATTATCTCCTTGCAGAAGTTTGGTGTCCCTCCTTGTAGCCCTCACAGAACTCTTCAAAGCCATTCCTGACCCACATTCAGGATCTCTTTCAAGAAGTGACATTGTGGCACTCATGGAAGTGAGTGAAATCTGTCTTAGGATGTTTCCTTCAGGTTTGTGAAGACTTCAGGAAATCCACTCCAGGTGAATACAAGAAAAATTGTGGGAAGCCTGTAGATTGCACACTGTGCTGTAATGTGCACCAGTGCATTGGGATCTGGCATCCAACTCCTGACTTCAGCATTTGAAGACTAATTGTTGAAGGGAAAACCTGAATAGTCTGGAGAAATAAATGAAAATGGAGATTTGTACTTGAAGAAGTCTTGATTTGCAAATCTGGGAGAAATTATGTTTACAGAAGGAATTCAGAAGTATTGTTTTATATGTTAGGTACTGTACTAATAAAGTGTCCCTTGTAAATACCAAAAACACGACCCTCAGCTATTAGAGAGACAAGGAAAATAACCTTGAGGGTAGCTTTATCTCCAGCATCAACTGCACGCCCAGATGTTTCTTTTCCATCTCTTACCCTTCAGCATTGATTTATGCAACTTTTCAGAAGATTAGGTCAGAAAGGAGGTGTGAAAAAAAGATAATAAAGAATGATTTCGTTTTCTTCAAGATGAAAGCCACCTGAATTCCAATCACTTATAGTACTGTTTTCATTGTTGTACACCAGACTTGTGTCTGGATGACATTTTGCTGTAACAATGATGTGATAGATGTGATGTGATGTGATGCAAAATCTTCCATAGGAGAGTACCTCATCTACTGTGTCAGCTGAAGTTTCCAACAATTAATTTTCAACAAGTTAATTCAGTGTTTGACCAAAGTATGAAAAATTCTATTTTATCAACAAAAGTGAGCATCTTTCTTCATTGTCCCGGAAAGATTCCACTGGAAGGTGAAATCAGAGCAGAGGATGACTCAGTACAACCATTCAGCACAGTTCTCTCTCCAGAGCTCAGCAAATAAATCATTAAATGTCACTGAAACACCTCTGTCTTGGGATGAAAGGACACTCTTGGGGCTGAAGATTTCCCTGTCAATCCTTCTGGCTGTTATAACTTTGGCAACGATCCTTGCAAATGTTTTTGTTGTTATTACCATTTTTCTGACTAGAAAGCTCCACACTCCTGCAAATTACCTCATTGGCTCCTTGGCAGTGACTGATCTCTTGGTGTCTGTGCTGGTGATGCCCGTCAGCATCGCCTACACTGTCACCCACACGTGGGCCTTTGGCCAGCTGCTGTGTGACATCTGGCTGTCATCAGACATCACGTGCTGCACGGCCTCCATCCTGCACCTCTGTGTCATTGCCCTGGACAGGTACTGGGCTATCACAGACGCTCTGGAGTACACCAAACGCCGCACTGCTGGCCGGGCAGCCCTCATGATAGCCGTGGTCTGGATGATATCTATCAGTATCTCCGTGCCACCGTTTTTCTGGAGGCAAGTGAAAGCTCATGAAGAAATTGCAAAGTGCGCTGTAAACACAGAGCAAATTTCCTACACGATTTATTCTACTTGTGGAGCTTTCTACATCCCAACCGTGCTCCTCCTGATATTGTATGGGAGAATTTATGTAGCAGCTCGATCCAGGATTCTGAAGCCACCCTCGTTATATGGCAAACGTTTCACTACTGCACACCTGATCACTGGTTCTGCAGGCTCTTCCCTCTGCTCCATTAATGCTAGCCTCCATGAAGGGCATGCCCATTCAGGTGCATCCCCAATATTTCTCGGTCATGTTAAAATAAAACTTGCAGATAGTGCGCTGGAAAGGAAAAGAATTTCTGCTGCGAGAGAAAGGAAAGCTACCAAAACTTTAGGCATTATTCTGGGAGCTTTCATTATCTGCTGGCTGCCTTTTTTTGTCATATCCCTAGTCCTGCCAATCTGCCAAGATGCCTGTTGGTTTCATCCCATCCTACTGGACTTTTTTACCTGGTTGGGTTACCTAAACTCATTAATTAATCCAGTAATTTATACAGCTTTTAATGAAGAATTTAAACAGGCTTTCCAAAAAATAATACTTTTCAAAAAGTCTTCCTCTTGAGACTCTCCTCCTGTGTAAGTGACCCTTGTGCAATCTCACAGCCTACCTGAAACTGTCCATGCTTTTATTCCTAAGGAACAGAGTGGTAATTGCCATCTCTGCTGCTACCCTGTTCTGTGCATGTAACTGGGAATTTCTTGCCAATTTGATATTTTCTGTCTGGGATTGTACATGCCATCACAGAACTTGTCCATGGTCTCTGCAGTGATCATGTGTGTATGTAAGATCAATGACACATGAAATAAGCTTTGCAGCCAGGCAAGGTGTGTGAACCAGGGAGTTTGTCTCGTGGGATGAGGTGACACATTACCCTGATGGGAGGAAATTGTGTGTGTATTTACAAGACCTTAGTATTTCTGCTGTATATTATTATCCATTTATGTCAGCTGAGAGAAATTCTGGAGAGCAGGATCTGATACTTGTATTTTCTACAGCATGTATCTTACCCATGTGAAGCTGATAAAACCTGTAGCTCTTTCAGATGTGTGACACAGCCTGACTATAATCAGCAGCAGGGCAGAGCAGCATAGCACAGATGTAAGTTGTGTGGATATTTCACAAATGCTGCATCTGAAGCTATACTTTTGGTGAAGTGTAGAAAGGAGACAATTTAGTTGAATTGGTTATTACATTTTATCATTAATAGAACAGCCAGTAAAGAAATGCTACAAAATAAATAGCATGAAAATGATTGACCTTATATTTCTGTCATTTAACTTTTTTTGCATGCATAAACTGAAACAGGAGAATATGGTTAGTGCTGGTATGGAATGAATAGGATCTCATAAAATAGCCAGAAGTTTCACTCCTTGGTGACAAGATATGGCAAGTTAGGGGAGAACAAAGTGACACATCAAGAAAAACTTTCTTAGTAATTTAGGTTGTTGGGGTGTATGTGGCATCCCTGTCTCTGGAATTCTCTAATACTGGTCAAGCAAACTGTGCTCAGGAATCACTGCCAGGACCCTCTGCTGGGGTCACAGAGCAGGTCCCTTCTAACCTGCCCTTCTCTGCCTCTGGGATTATTTCCCTGATTGCCAGGTGGGAAGCTGGCACATGGAGGAATTGGATGAAGTCTCAGACAAGACAGCACACCAAGTGGTGCAGCCCAAATTTCATGCAGTGTTTTAGTCTCTGGGCATTTTGTATCAGAAGTGTCATGTCTATATTGAACATGAGAGCCTCACACTGCTTTGACAATCACCCCATCCTCCTTCTGACCACCTTTCCATCTCTCAGCCTGCCCCAGTTCATCTCCACCACAGTGCATGTCCACCACAGCTTTCAGCCTCTCCTTTGCTTTTGTAGCACAGCTTTGCAGCTTCTCCCTGCTGCTGCCGCCTCTGCTGAGGATGCACCACAAAGTGATGCCCCAGGACCACCCACGTGCTGCAGTCAGACAGAGCAGTTGTGTGTCATAGAACAGCAGTCCTCTCTCACTGAAGGCATTTAAGGCTGCTCTGTTTGGGACATGGCTCCTCCACCCTCACAAAAGGGCACTGATGTAGCTCTGTCAAGAGATTTGGATGGTGCCACTACATGGCCACAGCCACAGAGTGTCCTCCCAAAGTGTGTCCAGAGTGGCCAGTGCATGCTGAGCTGTGCTGCTGCATTGCCTGGGGACATGTGAGCTGCCACAGCCCACAGGGGAAGGTCTCAACCATAAACCAGTGGGGACAACTGAACTCCCACACCTGAGGCCAGTCCCTGCTACTGTTCAATTTGCTGTTTCAGCAGCAATCAACTTTTCATCCTCCTCTGGTGATGACAGTCTGAAATGTTCACCTTTGGGCCAGTTAGTGATGACTTCCAAGATCCCTGGGTGATTCACGATTCACCTGCTCAGCATGAAACATAAAATTGCAGATCATGGTCCTGGAAGGGCCTTTGAGAGGCTGGCTAGTCCATTCCCTGCCTGTATCAACGGTGCTTTTGTTCTCTTCCTGTATTTCCTACCCTTGAAGATTTCCAATTATGAACAGAATGGCAAGATACAGCAAGGAAGATGATCCACCACTCTTCTTTGACACTGTTTAATTCAAGAGTAAACAAAGTAGGCCCTTTCTTTGGTTAGATTATAGGTTAATTTTAAAAGGCACGTGGTCTAATATTACAGCATTCTTATTGTTAGTAAATATTTGATAGGCTGCCTCAGTAATTTATATTGGAAAAAACAGTGATATGGAACGGGCAGACGAAAACACTTGCTAGGGATGATCATAAATTAAAGACAATTAACACCCACAGCCTCTGAGTTGAAAGGAGGAGGCTCTCATGTCACAGAGATCAATGTCCATATTTACCATGTTTTACAATGCTCTGTGAATTGCAGTCCAGAGCACACAAATAGATTTTACAGAAGGTACATGAGGGTTGAGTGATATCTCAGTGCCTCTCCAGTGAAGCTCTTGCAATATTGAGCACAAAGATAAGTCAAAACATGTTATGTTTGTACAGAAAACATATTGATAGGTCCAATAAGATAGTTATTTCAATGATAATGTAACATTTTTCAAAAAGAGAAGAAAGAGCTAAATATATGTCAAAGCATGTGTGTTCACTGCAGCACCCTGCATTTAAATTCCAGTGCAGGTTATTCCTGGGAACATCCAGGGAAGAGGATGGGGGTCAGCAATGAGGAGTCACAATGACAGAAGAGTGGCAGGACAATGAATGTGGAACATGATCACTCCTCCCAGGACAAACCTGAACCTTGCTTTGTGAAAGAAATATGGCCATTGAAAGCGTGTGGGTTGAAGCAATCCCACCATGCTCACCAACCTGAAAACAGCTCCTTGTCAGGGGAGTGCAAAGGAACAAAATGCACAAAGGAACAAAATGCTCAAAGGAACAGAAGAACAATATGTAAGACTACTTAAGTATATGAAGCCCTATTGATGAACAGATCACATCTTCACAAACAAACATGCCAAAAGTGCTCTTCCTGTTTTGTATTTGTAATCAGTCTATGACATGATGGAAATGTTTCTGAAGAACACACTTTATCACACAGTGTCAGAATGCTTTCATTGACAATCACAATTTTTTACCACTGATACTCTAATGGAAAAGGTACTTTGGTACTGTGAAGATATGATGCTTTGTATTTTCCTGTCTATTCCATAGCAGTTAATGATGGATAGACAGTTTCAAGTTTTGAACTACCATGGAAACTACTCAGTAGCCTGCTTTTCTTTTTTGAGTTCACAACTCCCTCTGCAATAAACCTTGCCAGTCCTTGAACAAATGTTAGAAGAGACAGCTGTAGCTATGGTGCCAATCTTGAAATTATATTGGCAAGCACCCTTGGCATCCTTAAATGCACTCCTTCTGGCTCCATGTGTAGACCTAATTTAGCTGACATTTTTAAGATGTCTGCTCCAGGAAGAGGTGAAACATTCCCTCAAACCAACTGACTTTAATAACATTATTTACATTACCTAGGTTGCAAGATTGAAATGAGACTTGTGTAAAAGAATCAGTAGTGGAGATGTCTGATGTATTCAGACTAACCCCACTCATAGTGTGTGTAAATCCTGATTATTACTTCCAGCAATTGCCACTCCCCATCCTGGTGTTCTCCAGGTGTGTCAGGTTCTGGTGAAGATGGATATGAAAACCCTTGGTTTGAGGAGATGGTGTTCTCACTGGACTGAATATGCTTTCTGATTGAGAGGAAGATGGCAGCAGCACAAACTAACAAGACATCAATCTGTTTCTTATGTGCTGCAGGCTTCTCAGTGCCTTTGTTACCACACCCTGACATGGCTGCAGGCTTCTGTGGGGGCTCATGGTGGCACCTAGCTGATTCTGGGAACAAGAAACAGTCATACACACAAAACCCCAAACCCAACAAAACTTACATTGCCAAACAGACTGCTGACAATGATGTGAGACTAGCAAACCATGCAGCACATCTGTCCTCACAAGCATGATTCTGTTTCTTTTCCCCTGCTTGCTGTGTTTAATACTGTTCCTAAACTCTGAATGGCTTCTAGCACAACCAAGGCTCCAGCTCTGTCGGGAGCTGTTAGAAATTAATTAAACAAATATCAAGATATTATAATGATTCTGATCTTCTAAATACTTAAAACCTGAACACCTGGAACCAGGCAATAACAGGAGAATCTCCATTTCTAGTTTGCAGAGAGAAGCAAGAACTGCTGCCTTAGAAAACAGTGGGCTAATTCAACTCACTAGAGGCAGAGAAGTATTGACTCTGAGTTAGTTGTCTGCCAGTTTGATAAATGGAACAAATGCCAGAACTGGTGCAGAAGAAGCAGCACACACACACAAGTAATTTTAGGAGGGACATACAACTGCCTACATCAGCAGCAGCAAGATCAACTCAGACACCTCACTTAAATTCACGAGACAAACAGAGGGAGTACAGAATAGCAAGAATACCTGAAGAGTCAGTTCAAGGACTTCATGAACTGGAAGATGACTCAGATGGACATTTTTAATAACCACAGAGAAATCTGTTCTCTGTAAGTTTGGCTAATCCCTTTTGAATCTCATGCCTCTGGTGTTCATGGCATCCTAGAGCCATCCACTTCTCACGTTATCAAGCTGTGCATAAGATGCACGAGTTACTTTTATTTGTTTAAAGCCACTACACCCATATAGATCCTCTGTTGTCAGACACACTGACAGCTTCTGCCGCTTCCCCATATCATTTGTGATTTTATTGTGTTTGTCATCTCTCCTTGCCCATCATCTCTGGTCGCACCTGCCCACATTACTTACACCCCACTCCCTTGGAACTATGCAGCCTTTCTATCAACCATTGTGGGGACATCTGGGGAAAAAGTTTTCTACCAGTGGTGCTGGCACCCTGCTGCGGGTTTTGGAAATCCAGCACCCACACTTCCAATCGAAGAGATAAGCACTGCAACCATGCCTCAGGCTTTGGTGAGTCCTCATTGTGGAGTAGTGCAAACAAAAGCAAATGCTCACTAAGGACTGAGACACTCCTCAGCCTCCTGTGCCACCGGATGCCAGCAGCACTGGCACAGTGAACTGCTGCTGCAGGGAACGCACAAGGTGTGAGGTAAAGTCCTGACCCACCCAGCATGAGTGATGGAGGGAGGTGACGGGAAACAGACTGAGCTGGGCTGATAAAGGAGGAGAAAGAAACCCCTCACCAAGGTGGCAACTGAACCAGCTGCTGGGTGGGGCTGCAGTGTGGGGAAGAGAGTGAATGGAAGCCCAGGAAATGATAAATGTCAAATCTCTGGATCCAAGTGAGAGACAACCTGCCTGCTCTGTGTCATGCAGAAGCAGCACGGCTGCAGCTGGTGGCACAGTGCCCGTGGCAAGAAGGGCCCAGGCTGGTATTTCAAAGAAAAAAGCTTAGTGGTGTGAGGTTAGACACTCAGAAATTTCTGTCCAGGGAAAGGAAATGATGTAGAGGAAAAATAAGGAAGCTCTGGCTGCTCTAAGATAAAGAAATTTTTTTCTTTAATATTCTTAATGATGGGGACTTAGTGCAGTCAGTGGAAGCTGCAGATAAAAGTAGAGAAAAGGACAAGTGGAATGAGGGATGTTACACGGCGAGGAGGCAGCTCCCCTTTTCCCCAGGTGTCCCACAATGGCCAGCAGGCTCCGAGCCGGTCCCGCTGCCTGGCGGGAGGCTGGAATTGTCACCGGCAATCCCAGATCTGCTGGGGACCCAGCTGGGCCAGGGAG